TGACTCATTGATTTTAGTGACCTTGTTCTTTGTGTTCAGGAGGCGATAAGGAGTGGTCATGTTTCAAGTCACACTGACTTTGTTATTTCAAGTGTTGAAATATAGGAAAAGTCTGTTTTATTAAATCCTGAGTTATTTTTCTGTCTGAAACAACCTTGTCAGTAGTTTGTGTATCTTACTAAACAAAAGGCTGAAAAATCTACCAGAACAGTAAGGCACAGGAAGATGCTGATATTTTATCAACTAAGAAAGCACACAAAACACATGAAGGGAGAGGTGGAGCAGAACATTTTTTAGATGTGACTTGATGAGGGTGCACTTGATCTCACTGTCCGTGTCACCAACAAAGATGTTAAATGTGCTGATCCAGTACCAACCCCTGAGAAACACCACTTTGCTCTCCATTTAGACATAGAACCATTGACCCAACCCTTTGAGTGTAACTATCCAGCCAATTACTTATCCAGCAAGTTGTCCATCAGTCAAATCCACGTTTCTCCAGTTTAGAGGCAAGGATGTCATGCGAGACATTATCAAATGCTTTGCACAAATCCAGGTAGATGATGTCTGTCAGTTGCTCTTCCCTCATCCACCAACGCCATGAGCCTTCTGATTAAACTGAATTAGGAAAAATTGCAAGTTATATGTAAAGTGGCTTGCTGTATCAGAGCTGAATGGAGTATTTTCTGTTATTTTAGATTGCTTAATATATTTCTATTACCTACTACGTTGGCTTTATTGTATTTTTACTTCAGTTCTCTTAATGTTCAAATTTTTACTTTGTTTTTCTATGTTTATGTTAGAAAGCACAATTTGTCCTTTATTCTTTTGAAATTAAGAGCTGTGTCTAGTTTTGGCACCAGCTAGCTAGCTAAGCACTGGGAAGCAGACTTGAATCCTCTAGCCAGTGTTTTTTCACAATGTAGAGAAATAGATTCTTGTGTCAGGCTAACACATTTTTCCAAATGAACAATCAGCTACTGCAGTAATTTTTAGTTATATCCATCAAAATCATGATGAAAAATTAAGTTAGCAGAGTCTGTTGTCTCAGGAAAAAAATATGTATATAGCTCGATTTTATCTAATTTAAGGGGTTTACTCATGACTGTTAAAAGCAGTATTTACTCTTCAAAAAGGTGACAAGAAGTTTTCTTCTGCACCTTCTCATCCAGAAATGGGGGTCAGAGGTCATTTTAGGACTGACACTAAATTGCCCCTTGCATATCCAGTATATTGATAGCAAGTAATCTTTAGCAGTAAGTGATCAAAGCCCTTTATAAATTAGTCTACTGAGATAATCCTATTGAGTTATGAATATCTAGAAGCATATGAGATCAGTTATAACTGTTATAACTGTCACTGTTTTGCACATAGAAATAGATGTTGTAATGATCTGCATAGGCTGATCAATTGTTTTTTTAAACAACAGATGTTTCCATTGTTTTGGCAATACTGCTGCACGAGTAATGAAGTCCGTAACGTTCATAAATTGCTGGCATTTGGTGCCTTTTTACTACTCTGTCTTCTGAATCTATTATGAGCAAGGCTACATGGCATCATCACTGCAGTACTGGTAGTGGGAGAGCTCTGTGTACGCTGGAGGTCCCCTGTGTGTCAATAATGGAGCTCGAGTTCTGAGAAATACTAGGACCTATCCTTATCCAGAAGTACTTTTTGCAGTGCCTACTGAAGGCAATGAGAAAGATGAAGCCAGAGGAGAGTTGAATGCTTGCATAAATTGTAGTTGCTCAGACTGCTCTGCAATCATTCTTATAGATGATCCAGGAAAAAAGTATTGGATAACTAGAATTGGATTCTTCTGTCCATTTATTGGAAACTGTGAAGTCAGCCACCAAAATGTTTTCTGGGTCATTCTGTTTTCAGTGAATTACAGCTGCAATCATCTTGCACTTCTAACTTGTGTATAGAACACTTAAAACCTTGGAAATGCAAAAGTACTTTATGCACACAGAAATCACTAAGTTCACCACTGGAATAAAGTTGTTTCTGACTGAAATTGGAAGCTGGTGCGTAAGGGCAGTCTTTATACATCATTTGTCTGAGGAAGTAATGAACATGTCTCTGGCTGAGTCTGTAGAAAAATGTGGGTCTAGCATTTTCCTGTTTTCTGAAAGACCTCCCTTCTGGCATGAAACTGAGTACATAAATTTAGGTCTGTCTGAGATGAAGTGAATCACACATAACACTCCCTGTAGTTCCTCAGTCTTCCTTTGGAGGCTTTGTGACAGTGTTTCTTTTGTGAGATAAGATCATTGCATCCCCAGGACATGGTAGCAGCCACGTATTACCACTTCTGGAATGATTTGGAAAATGTTTTATCACCAAGATATCACAAGTATGGAAAAAGTCCTGCACATAGTAAACCCTCTTATTGGTTGTCTGTGTTATATGGGGAAGATTTCTCTTAGTGTCACACACAGACCTGCACTCTCTCAAATTCCCAAACAATATGCCATCCAGCAGTATCTAAACTCCTGCTGTTCAAAGGCAGAAACAATAAATACTAATCTTGCATTACAGTATGCTGTAAGCCTTTCTCATCCTGGGATGCTATTAAGTCTCCATCTGTACAGGTTGGAAATATGTTGTGGCAAGGTTCCTGACTAAGGCTGTATTCAGAATTTTGGTGGTAAATGGTGTACAAAAACCTGAAGAAATAAAATGAAAGAAAAAAAAATAAAATTTTCCTGCAATATGTTTAAGGACAGCAGCATTTAAAGAAAGGAACGGGTCCTTTTTCCATAGAATAAAATTATGGCATAACATCCTCTCTAAAGTTAAGTCATAATGAACTCTTTTGTGCACCTACTGGAAAGTATTATATTTCCATATGCTCATGAATGTGGAAAACAGGGATCTGGAAACTTTGACAATGGTAGCTACCATCTCCATGTGTATTTTTCTGCTTTGTATGGACTTGTTCAATGCCTACTAAGGTAAATGGAAAGACTCCTGTTGATTCCGGTGCTGCTAGACTCATTCTTCTGTATATCATTCAAGGGCTTATTTCATCATCACTTTGCTTCATCACCTGATATTCTTACTCTTTTTTGTGTAGATAAGGAGTCAGTGTTTCACTCCAGCTGGTGTGGTTAGGTGATTCTTGATTTTGTCTTATCCATGTACTTGAAATTGGCATCTTCAGTGCAGTAGAGAGCAAGAAAGAAAAATAAAAAAGTCATGTATTTCTCACAGTGAAAGAGGGAGATATTTTTAAAAGCTTGCTGACTGTGAGCAGGAATGATGTGAGGGTTGTTTTTTAAGCATCTTCCCTCTGTTTAATTTGCTGTTTTAATCACTGTTTTCTTCATTAGCTTAGTTTCAGCTTGATAATTTGTTTTCTTTATTTTCTTTGCTGTTATTTACTTGGCCATTAGAAAACCCTTTCCTTTCAAAAGTTCTTTGCCCAAATTGTTTCCCATAACAACAACAATAATGGGGAAAAAATACTCCTTTAAATAGCAATTCAGTTCATCCTTTGGTACTTATATGCAGTCACTCCTTCAGTGGGATTTGCACTCACATAACTGAAGCTAAAAATCTGGCCTTGTGCATCACAGCCTTCCCCCATGTAACTACATGTAACTACAACAAGGAACTGTAATAAAACAGAGTAAGACTTCATTATGTTTCAAAACTGAGGGAATAGTATGGTTAATCATCTCTTAGTGTTTGCATACCTATCCTTCCTTCACATCCTCTTGTACTGTGGCTGATGGGTAATCTTTCGTTACATCATGTGCTTGAGACTTGGTCTAGCTAATAGACTAAGTGGAAAAAATGTGTCAGTTATGACTTCTTGGCCTTTCATTATATCACAGATTTTGCTGTGGGAAAAAATTGTTCTAACACTACTGTTCGTTCAACCAACTCCTGTGGGAAGGGGCCTGGGGCACTCACCCATCCCTGGTGCTGGTCACTCAAGAGTTATTGCACTCAGAAGGTCAGCAGAGCGTTGCTGGCTCCTATGATGTGGTCAAAGGAGAGCTTATGTGGCCACTGGGACAGATAAGTTGTGTTGAGGGTGATCGACTATGAGAGTGCTTTTATTTAATTCCTAACCTCTTGGCCCAGGCAATATACATGCCCAAGAGTGCTGAGGGTGTCCAGAGAGAAAGACAAGTCTTCACTAATTGCCCATAACTTTATATGATATTAATGGTATATGATATTAAAAAGATTCAATAGTAGCTAGTGACAATGTCAAAGAAACCTGTCAGTCTGATTATGCTAGCTGTTACTGCCCTGATTAAAAAAAAAATGGAAACCAATCAACAAAACCAAAAAAAAATTTATTTAAAGCTGGACAGATAATCTTTCAAATAAAGAGAGGCAAAACCACATATTAGGTAATACAATAATAATATTAATTTTCACTTCTCCAATTGTTTCATACCTACGTAGTTTTTTAATATTAAGAGTGTTCAGTCTAGATTCTGAGCTTAAATTTTCAAGAGGAAATCATAGAACACATATTGGTTTTCACAGCCACTACCAACTTGAAAACCTAACAGCACATTGGTTTGTATTTTGATTTATTAGGAAGCAGGCTTAAATGAACTTACTGGCTGGAATCTAAATAAGTCATGCTTATTTCTGCTTTGCACCTGAAGAAGCAGCTTTAGAGAGCTACTGCCCTCTGTAGATACTGTATCCTATCAGTATAACTTTTTCAAGAAAATACTAAGTAGGAAAGAGAATTGTTGATAAATGGAGAAAATTGCAGTACTAATGTACTTTGCTGTAACCATTCCCTGCTGAAACTTGAGGCAATAGTCCCAGTGAGGCTTATGGGATAGCTCAAAAAAGCATTCCTCTATGCAATGTTTCTTTTTGTGCTGGAATTTGTTCCTAGAAATAATATATAGATAAAGTGATTTGTTTGGTTTTTTTTCTTTCAAAATATCATTAAATTTATTGCTTAGAAATTGTTATAATTTTCTATTGGTTTATTTATTACAGAAGAAAAGAGACTGAACTGAGGAAGAGTGGAAAAATAATGATAATATTTCTTTCTTGAATAAGAAAAAGGTAAGATTTAGAGGACCATAATACTGCAAGTACTTATTTATTGCATAATAATAACAATGAGGTAATTTTTTAAGATACCAAACGCTGGCAGCTTTTGATTTAAACTTATTCAGACATTCACAGTCTTGGCTGCCTAAAATCTGATGATTTAAAATTCACAATCCTTTCCAATTAACTGAGACAATGAGTCCACTGTTTATGCCACTGTATTAACCTGTTTTGCATTAGAGAAGAAAAGGTTACATTTCACTTTGGAGCAGCATGTTGGGGTTGTGTGTACTTCAGGTTGCTTGATTTATACTGTCTCCAGTTTGGGTTTGTTGAAGGGAGAGTTGGTTTTTTTTTTTGCTTCCACTCCATTCCCTGGAAGCTATAAATGCCCCAGTTTTTCCTGGGATTTCCTTTTTTTTTTTTTTTCCCTGCTCCCAGGTATCCAGTTGTGAATGAAATAATGCTCCCCATATGTGTTCATTATTCCCATTGCTGGTGTCTGTGCAAGTCAACCGAGTTTTCCTAGTAAAGTTGGGTTTGACCTTTTGGAAATTCTCAGATGAAGAATCTAACTGCACTCATTAGTCTCAAAAGAGATAGACTTCCCTGCCACTGCCCTTATAAAGAGCTGTAAGAAACAGTAAAGCATGATTGTTCCAAAACCAAAGCCAGGCCTCAGAGCTGTTAAGGAGCGTGCAAGCATTAGGGAGCCAGGATCTGGCTGTGCCTTCCCAGAAGGGTGGTGCACCAGATGGAGAGAGATCTTGAAGAAGGGGAGCAGACAGACTGATTGACAAAGAGACTTAACAACAGAGGAAACTAGAGAGAAGCCCTTTTGACTGACAGGCTGACTTAGGCAGGAGAACACTGATGGGTTTAGTCCCTCCATATTCCAGCCAAGGGCATCATGTTGTACATTCTGACTGCTGGGGTGGTGGCCCCTGGTTCTCCTCATTTCTTGTGATGGCACTGGAAGTGGTGTGACAACACGGGGAGCCATGTGATAGAGCTGACCCATCTGAAAACTAATCTTGCTTGCTGTTTTGCTATTATGGTTTTGGCTGGCACGATTAGTACTTGGGCAGATTAGTTCTTTCTTCTGGCCCTCTTCAGCCCCGGGAGTGTGTGCAGACACGTGCTGGAGACACTCGCTGTCAGGACCGTGGGGGAAGGTGGTGTCTCTTCTGTCAGAAGATTGTGACTCGTCGAGGCTGAAACTATAGCTCATGTCAACAAAATATTTCTTGTGTTCATCAAAATAAATGAAGAAAAGCTCCTTTTTCTGTCAGTGAAACTTTCTCCTGACTAGAGTCACCTGTGAGATCTGGAATCTTAATAGTTGCTCAGGCTAGAAGAGGAGAAAGTAGATATGAACCAGTAGGTTCTTACCAAAGGAAGAAGATGATTGAGGAATTTAGATTAATATACTAGATACTAGTAGCTACCTTTCAGTTGCCTAAAGACAAAACTATTGTTTGTGGTAATTTATATATGATTTCAATATTACCTCATTTTAGTAAAGAACAAGTAAATGAATGAACAATTATGAAAGCCAAGGCAAGTATCTCCAAATTTCTATTCAAATATTACAAATATTCCTGGAAAATGTGTCAACAAGTTATAGAACTTAATAACAAACATCTGGATATTTGAACTGTCCATTTGAATCTGGGGCTGGAGATGTAAACGTTTTGTTAGTCAAACAGTAGGACTACACTGAACTTGAAGATCTACAGTGCTGTTAAATTTGATAGAGCTTTCTCACAGGGAGTGCAAAAGGAAAACACTTTCATTTGATTTTGATAGCTAAATAGAATATAGGTTATCCTTTCTGTACTATTTTACAATAGTAGAAATTGCTCTTTTTTTTTTCTCATGTAGAAAAACATCCACCGTAAGTTATCTTGCCTGTACTAAGGCTCTGAAATAGCAGGTACACACTGATGGCTACTTTAATGATGAACAAAACACAATGAAGTCAGGATTTTTAAAAAATGTAAAGTTTCAATTATTTTAAATATGGCAGTTTGCTAACTTGTAAGCAAGGTAATTATACATGGATAAACTTGATTCTGCAGAGTGATTCAGCAAAGTAAACAGTAATTTAGTTTATTTTATTTAGTTTAGTTTTACAAACAAATTCTAAATCCAGTATGAACAGAGCTTGTGTTAAAACTGAAAAGTGTGATTCCTAGCAGTTTTAAGTATTAATGTACTTTCCCCTTTTTACAGGTTTTGCCCATAATAAATTCACTATGCAAGACGTACAGACTTCTACCCAATGCTATGAAAATTAACCAAGGCACATTAATTTCAGGAAATCTTCAAAGGTACAAAAATATAATGCTTATTCATTAATTAATTAAACCGAAGAAGCCATCAGCATGTGCTACATAGCCTAAGTCTTATGTCAGGTCAATAATTAAGCTGTAGTAAATCTTCTGGAGGTTCTGTCCTGCCAAACTTTAAAGGCTCAAGACTAACTCAAGGACCCTTAACATTTTAGTAAGCCAGTAAATGATTACGCAGATAGCTTTTCAATCCAAAGTTTGCTACTATTAACTTTCTATTTTTTAAGACATCCAGGAATGGTATGTTTTGTGGTTATTGAATAATATCCTGTGAACAAAACGTATGCCTTTCGTGAGTTTACAAAAAGGAATATTTTATAGACTTCAGTTATGTCAAGATAAAAGCGCACTTTTCCTGCAGGGAAAGATATACATTAAGTGAAAAGTAATGGTTTGGAATTTTCCCTTGTTTATGTGAACATGATGATTATGAAAACTTGAACCTAACCTCACTGTATGCAGCTGGTCATGGTAAAGAGAAAGCATTATGCAAGCTGTCGTATTGGACTCTGCCAAAGCAATTCCAAAATATCTGCAGTAGTTATGTGCTTTCAAGGTCTGGCTGACTTTTAGGTGGAATTAGGAGGTCATAGCAAGTTGTGTGGTGACCTCGTGATGTGGGAATTACGGCACTAGACTGAGTATCAAATGATTCGTCTCAGCTTAACAAATAAAAATATAAAGCCACATGACAGAACACAGAGCAGGAAGTTCAAAATGCTCTGAGATTCATTTTTTCCCTTAACTGTATTATTTTCTGTCACCTCATTTACATAAAGTATTTCTGGTTAAACAATTTGCAAATACATGTGATTTAGTAGCAGGTATATGCGTGGCAGAGGTAAATTTGATTTAAAATTAAGACATTATTAGCTGTGAAAGACAGCTGGTATACATCAAGTTTATTTCACGTGCAAGTTTTTGTATGGACTTTTGTTGGAACCACTTACTCTTTGACATGTTAGCTCATAGTTTATTTTAATTACAGAATATTTAAGTTTCCAGATCTTTAGATAATGTTTCATAATGATAGGAATTAATGTGAGATTATTCAATCTGCTTTATTTTCCCTCCAGATGTGTGGCTGTATATTGGTCCCCTGTAAAGCATGTATTATTTTCTTGCATACCGCATATCAGGATATCCAGGCTGTCCTATACCGATGATCTAGTTAATAACTTCATTTACATGTTAATGTTCTCTCCCAGTTTTATCTAAATTTTTACTAGGTTTATCTGTATTTTTCCTAGTTTTCTCTTAAAGAGGTTAACTAGACTAGGGGCAAGAAAATGCATGCCTTAGATTTTCACAGAAGTGGAAGTTATGAAATAGTATCATTTCAATGGGTGATCTTGCTTTTGATGAAGAGAATACATTGGATTATTATTTTCCATACCTTCCAGTTCTACTCAGTGAAATTACAAGTGATCATTTCGGCCATATTCCCAGTCTACCAAAGGCAGGAAACACAAATAGTCTTATAAAGGATTTAAATTGGAAGATTTCCAAGCAATTTTTGCAGATCCAAAGGTTAATTTTTTTTTTTTTTTTAAAGCTTGGACATTATTTATCTAACCTGAAACTTTAGTGGTTCACTCTTTATTGGCTACCTCATCTGCTGTTCTAGAGAGATTTTGCAAGAAAAGTTTATAAACATACTTTTTCTCTACAGGTTTTGGGTCATATATCTCATACAGTGAAGTATGCGTAAATGTAATTCATATTTGTTAGTATTAGAAATGCTTTCAGAATATTTATTATGAAATAAAGTGTTATCACTTGCACCATGGATAAAATAGTTGAAAAGTTCCAAGAAAAATGAAAAGGCGGCTTTTTGACCTGAAGCTTAAAAATCATGTCTCATATGTGTATAATCTATTAATGACACACTCAGTGCAAAGACTTTCCTGGCACATTATCGACTGACGTTCCAAGAGCCAACTTCAGTTAATTAAGTTGAATACAACTTAACCCTTGGGGTCAGATTTTTTAGAAACGTAGTTTCATTACTGCACACACACATATCCCGGTCCCAGTTCCAAATAGATATATATGGTTCCCAGTTTATTTTGGGGAAGTATAAGAGCTTGAAAAACCCATTTTAGTTCATCGGAAATGAGCACGATCTAGAAACAAGAACTGGAGAGGCTTGCATGTTACAGGACTTAAGAGAGTGAGTCCACATGAGGTCAAGAGTACTGGCCTGATCAGTGGTATCTCCAAGCAAAAAACCTGGATGTATGGTAAGATGGGTCTCACAGAATAATTTGCAAAAATCCCAGCAGGCTGGGAGAGGCTAGGGGAGGTCAAGAAACTTAGGAACAGAGATACAGAACTTGTAACATTTTCTCGCAGTTCACTGCATCACCACCCTTCATTTTAGTGTATGCACACTGAGGGCACAGTCACTGGTCTATCAGCAAAGGTATTGCTAAATGTCCTACTAGGAGGTGTACAGCAAAACTACTGTCTTTTTGTAGGGTTTCTCTTTCTGTGCTGTGATGTTTTGCTGTTATTAGTTGTCTGCACAGGATGCAGCCAAGTTGTGTTGAATCTGCAGTCAGGCAGCCTTTCTCTATCTAGGATCTTGTTGTGTCTTCATCTCCTTATCCAGAGGGTTTTTCTTTGTTTCCTGCTATAAGGTCACTAGGAAATACCTACCAAAAATAGGTAAGTCCCTTAGGAAAATGCTCTGATGCAGAAGTACATCTCTGTGTTGCATGTGCATACATGTTCAGACATGAACCCATGGAAAGATTATCTGCTAGCAAGCATTCTAAGAAGCTATTTGCTTCTGCATCCCTCTGAAGTGATCTCTGACATCAGTGACTTTAGTTCTCACTAGTGTATCCCACTTTTGCAAACAAACTGATTCATTCTCAACTTTTTTTCCTCTGATGTTGTCAAGTTTCTCAGTTTGGAAAAGAAGATTACTTAAAAGGGGATTATTAGCTGAAAGATAAGGGGGGTTCCACCTAAATGCATTAGGGTAAGCGAATTTTAACTGCAATAGTTATAGCTGATAAAATCAGATATTCCAAGAAGACACAACTTTGCCCCTTCATTTCCTCTCTATTTTGTTACTTTTTTGCCCACATCACATTTCTGATCTTACCTGGTAAACAAGTGCCATTTCCATTTGGTTTTCTTTTCCATCACACAGTCACACATAAACCCTTTCTGTTTTTCTATATACGCTGTTGATTAAGATCTAGAGGGAGTTTTTTTTTTACAGACTGTCAATACAGCAGAAAGTTTGTGATCTTGGGAGTTTTCCCTTTACAAGCTGTGAAAAGGAAGATTCAGGGATTTGCTTTTAGTATATCTGTAACCTACCACATGTCACTTAACTTGTTTGCCTTTGTGGCTGCTCATCCCTATTAAATTAGTTCACACCAGTAGAGCTCCAAAGAAAAAGGATGAGGTTTTTCTCCTTCGTTTCCTCCTGCTACTTAGTGGGAAAGGGTTCTCAGCTGCTGATTATGTTGCTTCATTGGTTTTCTTGCTGGTGTGTTTCTCTGCACCGCATGCCTTAATGAGGAACAGGCGGTCAGCAGTTTGGTGGGCATTATGCTTAGAGTGTGCTTGGGGAAAGAGAGACGGGCAAGAGCAAAATAGATCCAAATAGCTTCGTTTCTAACCTGCACCAAAATGAAGGCAGAAACTTTTGTATAAGTGTACTCTTAAGATTACAAGTCAAGCTGTCAAACTACCTGTCTCTGGGAGTATTTATGATTTTTTTCCTAAATTTAGGTGGGTTTTTTTTTCCTGTAAGAGCCAAGTCACTTCCTTCCTATCCATTATCAGTGATATTACTGTGCCTTACTGGAGGAATGGCACAATGCAAGGGCATCAAAGTAAGACATGCACAGTCTGATAAAAATACTTCTAATATTTCATGTAAGAAGTGTCTTTAAGGTGGATTTTGTAAAAGAATTGTATGTGTCATGTTTTCCTATACCCCTTCCAAATATTTCCATTCAGATGAACATTTAAGAACTGAGATTTTTTTTTAGCCATACACTTCTATTGCCAGTAACTTGATCCAGAAATATCTGAGATTTTGCAAAAATACAAAATATCTTTATTTTTATTATCAATAAGATTGTAATTACCATATAATCATAGAGTCACAGAATGGTTTGGGTTGGAAGATCATCTAGTTCCAACTAAACTTAAAGATCATCTAGTTCTAACTACCCACCATGGGCAGGGACACCTTCCACTACATGAAGTTGCTCAGTGCCCCATGCAACCTGACCCTGAACACTTCCAGGGATGAGGCATCCACAGCTTCTCTGGGCTACCTGTTCCAGTGCCTCACCGCCCCCACAGAGAAGAATTTCTTCCTAATGTCTAATCTAAATCCATCCTTTATCAGTTTGAAGCCATTCCCCCTTGTCCTATCACTACGTGTCTTTGTAAAATGTCCCTCTCCAGCTTTTTGTAGGGCCCCTTTAGGGGCTTTTCTAAGGTCTATTTGGAAACTTCTCCAGACTCAACAATCCCAACTCTTTCAGCCTGTATTCATAAAGAGGTGTTCCAGCCCTCTGAGTATCTTAATGGCCCTCCTCTGGATGTGCTCCAGCAGTTCCACATCCTTGTCATGCCGAGGGCCCCAGAGCAGGATGCAGCATTCCAGGTAGAGTCTCCTGAGAGCAGAGTAGGAGAGCAGAATCACCTCTCTCAACCTGCTGGCCACATTTCTTTTGATGCAGCCCTGTACACAGTTGGCTTTCTGGGCTGCAAGTGTACATTGCCAGGTCATGTTGAGCTTCTTGTCAACCAATATCCCCAGGTCCTTCTCCTTAGGGCTGCTCTCAACTCATTCTCTGCCCAGCCCATATTTGTGCTTGAACCACATGCAGGACCTTGCACTTGGCCTTGTTGAGCTTCATGAGGTTCACACAGGAACTATATTGCATGATATACTCAGGGAATGGAAAAAAGAATACTAGAAAGGAAACTCTTTTCTGACT